GCCCTCATAAAGCAGGCACAGGCCTGTGAGCCAGACGCCGTTCCGTCCTAAGACACAGCCACAAACACTTAGACGTTAGAAGATACTTCAGAAAGGCAGTCATTTGGTCAACGAGTACTGAATCTCAACTTCCCCATGGACCAAAAAGAGAAAGGGTCCTTCTAGGGATTTTTTTTTTGGTGGGGGAGGGGGTGAAATGCAGCTCTGAAGGCTTCAGGGAGGAAGTGACTAAGCCCAGCCCGGCCTCAAAGGAACAGCAGGATCTGAGGTGAAGATGGCCCTGTGGGGGTGGGGGCAGGGCCAAGATTACACCATCAGACAGATCCTAGGGCTGATGCAAGAAACAGGCAGGGCACCTTGGGGGATTGACCACCAGGTAGCCGGCTAAGCTGGGGCAGGGGGGAGGGAGGGGGCCCCCTGAGGACCGGGCTGGCCCCAGAGGGCCTGGACAGTGGGCTGTGGAGATCGTTCAGGGCTCTTGAGCAGAGAGACTGGGGTGTGGGGGACAGACCTCCCCCCACCCCCCCAGAAGGAGGCCACTAGAATCAGTTGGGATGGAATACCACCAGAATGAAAATGTGGCTGTCTCTGACAGAAGGGACTGTAGGACATCCTTCATCTTTTCTAAGCTTATTTTTCTACAACGTGTGTGCTTTACTCATATAATCTGAATACAATTAAAGTTTTTTAAAAAGTTAATTTAAAACGGGACAATACTAGTTATAATTGACTGAACCTCTTGGGTTTGGGGTGGGTGCGGGAGCAAGGGAGAGAGACGTGACCCTGAAAAGGAGCGGCACTCTTAGGACCCAGGCCCCTGTTTGAGAGGGCACTGAGCAAGCTGCTATCAAGAGGTGGTGGTGGCAAGAGACGCCCAAGAAAATATCTAGGGACCATAGAGCGGGTGGGTCAGAGGAAGGCCCGGAGAGGCACCTGAGAGATTTCTGCATTTCAGAGACCCCTGTGCTGTGTACAAAGCCAGGGGCTAAAAGGGACTTCGGAGCCACCCTGGGATTGGTACAGAGGCCAATCTCTGTCCCTGGGGGTCTCAGGCACCACCGCCCCCTCGCCCCCCACCCCCACCCCGGGGCAGAATCTATCTTCCTAGATGGGAGGCGTGGGAAGATGCGCCCAGGATCTGAGGAATGCCCTGGAGGAAAATTTGTGCAGTGGGGATTTACTGAGAAAAAAAGCAGCAGGACCAGGGACTACGGGACTGCGGGTTTCACAACTTCATTCTTAACGCTGATTCCCATCATTGAGTCCAGGGGGAAAATCCCAGGCAAACTATTCTGAATGTGTGTTTTGGGGGGCAGGGGGGCGGGGATAGCAAGAAGGAAATGATCGTTCTGAAGAAAATCCCTGTGAACCGCGTTACCAGCTGTATTTCCCCAAGGGGGAAGAAAACCTTGCCCACTACCTACAAGGAAGGCTGAGGGCACTTTTTTTCCTTGCCCTCAAGGGTGATCCCTGGAGTTGGGCCTAAGTGAGGGGAGGCCCTTAGTAGGCCTCCCAGAGAGGCCTAAGGATTCTCTCTTTAAGGAAGACTTTGATCCAACTTAGGGGGATATAGTTCCATCTGTGCACAGAAATCCCCACAAAAACAGCAGTCTTTATAGTAGTACTTTTGGGGGGGGGAAAAAGGTTCCGTACTACATGGGAAGCACCCAGCCCATGTGGTCCTCTCCCATCCGTCCCCTAGACCCATGGCCCCAGCACTGAGGAGAGGTAAGAGAGCATCCGATCTCATCCAGACAACCGGACAGACGGTGGCACTGGGTGCCCGCAAGTCTTCTTGTGAACCCCACCCTCCCTCAGACTCCTCTCCCTTGCCCTGTTTTGTGAAGGTCTGAGAAGCAGACATTTAGCAGAACCTGGGGCTCTGGCTAGGAGGGGGCTGCACCCGAGCCTCCTTCCTCTGAGAGGCAGGCCCGGAGCACCAGCAGCAGTCGGGAGAGCGGGCCACTCCCGGGGGACACAAAGTAAACAGCCAGGCTGTGGGAGCTGCGTTTCCTGCTCCAGTCGCGCTGTGGCCGGCTCCTGAGCTCAGCAAGCCCGTTCCTGTCCCGGCTGGCACCACAGAGACACGGGGCTCTGTCTTCCCTTTCAAGACGGAGAAGGGAAGCCGGGCAGAGGCCATGCAGCAGCTGGGCTGGTAGACGGAGAGGCCCAAGCCCCCTGCCTGCTCCCATTTCCTCCACAGAGGGAAGCGCAAGGTGGCCCTCTCCTCAGCCTGAGGCACCTTCCAAGTCCCCAGGGTCATGTGTGTCGGGAGGGGGTAGAAGTCAGTGTGGCTTCAGGGTTAAAGGGTAGCGCAGAGACACTCCTTGGGGTTGGGGTGCGGGGGTGCTATGCTTCTCAGGCCTTCCGGATCTTGTCTGAGAAATGGGCCCCCACCAGTGCAGGCTGCCCAACTTTTTTTTTTTTTTTTAAAGATTTTATTTCTTTATTTAACAGAGAGAGACACACAGTGAGAAAGGGAACACAAGCAGGGGGAGTGGGAGAGGGAGAAGCAGGCTTCCCGCGGAGCAGGGAGCCCGATGCGGGGCTCGATCCCAGGACCCTGGGATCATGACCTGAGCCGAAGGCAGACACTTAACGACTGGGCCACCCAGGCGCCCCAGGCTGCCCAACTTTTCTCCCACTGGGTGTCAGCGGGGGCTTGGGAAGCCCCCGTGGAAAACGGAGCCCTGGAAACCTCAGGCAGCAACTTGGGGAAAGGCAGAGTCCGAGGGTGAGGGCGAGGAGTGGGACAAGCCTGCACCCAATGCTGACAAGACGAAACCGTCCCCTGCCAGCGAGGCCTGCAGCTTTCATTTTCTGGGTCTCTCCCCAGAGTGTGGCAGGCCAACTTTTCTGGGAAGTTCTGTGCTGGATGCCTCCCTCCCGGCTCTGGAGCCTTAAAGCCCTGCCCTCCCCCTGGGGAAGGACGACGAGGATGAGAGATAGGGCTTGTCACCCTGTGAGGCGGGAGGAGGAGGGGAAGGTCAGTGTCTCCTTTTCCTGGCCCAGCTAGTTCTGACCCCAGGAACCACCAGCCAAGGCTCTGTTTGCAGCACTTTCGTCATAAGAAAGAAGGGAAAAAGGGTGAACATTTCCCAGACACTTCATCCTTTAGAAAATTCCCCTCTAGTTAATGCCAAGGGAGCAAGCTGTGGCCTGAGTTATTT